CGTTTTCGGCCTTGTAGTGTGAACGATAGCTGTATCCAGAGCAAAACAGCTCCGTTTTCGTTTGAAAACGGATTAGTGTGGAGGGGGCCTAAGTTTTCTTGTTATTTTTGTTGTAGTTTATTATTGCATTGTTTCTACAGTACTGTTTCAATTAAGTCTACTTTTGTCGTTGCTACATAAATCCTGTAAAACACGTTCTTAGGGAGAACTGACTGCGTAGCAATGAATTACTCACTACACTTCTAAACTTACTATAAAAAGAGGACTATATTACTGTTATGAAACACTTGTTACTTTGATTAGTTCTACTTCCTCATCTTCTCTTTTATATTCTTTCTCGGTAATGAAGACGTAGTGCCGCTACCTTTGTCGCCACAATATACTTTTTTTTTCATTGGTTACTATTTATGAACACTGTGAACAACCTAAACTCATAAAATCTCTTGCACAATTATTCTTTCAAGGTATGTAAATACAGTTTAAAAAAATATCCAAACGAAAAAACATTCAGAGACACACAGACGTTATGAATTAGTTGAACAGGTTTGGAACCTTGGCGGTGCAAAATGCGTTGAAGTTTTAATTTGAAATTTTCTAGCAAAGATCTTGATTGTTTAATTGAAATGAAGATGTGTTTGTTTAAATTTGGTTGAAGTTATTGCCTCTTAAACAGATGTGGACGAGTGTCAGACAGATTCCTGCCTCTCGAACAGACAGTGTTTCAACACTATAGGCTCATATTTTTGCAAATGTAAGCCTGGATATTATGGGGATATTCAACAATCTTGTACAGGTGAGGTGTGAAAATGAATAAGTAAATAAATGATTAATTAGAGTTTTGGAGATAATAAAAATATGACTAGATTTCTGACATATAGTTAATATTTGGGCACGTTTGGGTAAATACTGCATTATTGAAAACCATGCGATTAGATTAATAGAAGAAGCATCATCAAAACATGGTTTACCCTGCCCTCAATCATGTCACAGTCTTCTCAGGAAACCCATGTGATGTTTCAATGTGGTCAAAAGTTCATATTGCTGAATTGCGATCGATTCATTTGGAGTTTGCCCCTAGCTGTTCGCTACTGTATTGGTTGGCTGAGACTTGAAAGCAACCGAAGGTTTGATTCGGGGCCATAAACTCTGTATTTTACCAAAACTTGCAATGAAACTTTTTACCGGCTCAAAATACACAGCCGTTTCTATGACAACTAGAGATTATATTATCCTCCGAGTAGCTGGCTGCACTGCATGGCTAAATACTTATTGCTTGTTATCAACAAGCTAAATGCTAAAAGTTTTAGATTCGATTAAAAAAATAATAATAGAGAGAATGAGATAAAATCCCATATCTCAAGATCGTGTTTCTTTCTCATAACTAAGTGACGATCATCAGGGATTGTATCGCATTTCAATCTTTTTTTTCAAACAAATACATAGAGTTAATATTTAGGCATTTTTTCCACAGCTCACCCCCCTAAAAAAAGGATTATATAAAGCTTAATTAATTAGATGTGGAGGCGCGGTGGCCTCATGGTTAGTGCGCTCGACTCCGGATCGAGTGGTCCGGGTTCGAGCCCCGGCCGGGACATTGTGTTGTGTTCTTAGGCAAGACACTTTACTCTCACAGTGCCTCTCTTCACCCAGGTGTATAAATGGGTACCGGCAATTTAATGCTGGGGGTAACCCTGCGATGGACTGGCATCCCATCAAGGGGGGGAGTAGAAATACTCCTAGTCGCTTCATGCTACAGAAACCGGAGTTAAGCACCGGCCTAATGGGCCACTAGGCTCTTAAACAGACTTTACCTTTCTCGTTCCAAAAAGCCGTAAATCGCGCATTTGTGTTGCATAGTACTGTCGGATAGACGTAGAATCGATGCTCGAAACGTTCTAAAAATTTTCATTAAACAGGCGAAACTAATTAACTTGCTTGATCTAGTTTTCTTAATTTTATATCCATTTCTGCATGATCGTAAAGCTTCAGATGAAAGCTCCTTCTGACAGGTTTGAGGATAACTTACCTGGTTAATAGAAGACACATATAAGTCATATACAAATTTGATTCTTTCTCTCTTTTTTTCGTTAAATTTCACTGGTACACTGAGATAAGATTTTTGGGAGTGAGATTAGCGAAGAGCTCGGTTACTTTTCGAGAACGTTAAATAAGTAATCAAACATGGCGGGTCCTTCTGATGTTCATGATATTTTGTAAGACAGAAAACGTAGCGCTAGTTCAGCGTGAATATCCTGGGAATTCGAAATTTTTTAAGCCTTTTAGCAAGTCCTTTTTCTTGTGAATTTTTTATATCGATTGACTTTCACTGATCTACCAAGGGCAAAAGGAAGTAGAAAGGTGGCGTCTTAATGAAACTTGCAAATGCAGTTGTTGATGTAGAAGCCGAAGAGATTTACTTCGAACTATCTTTCACATCATGGTTGGAGACAGAAATTCTCGTTCAGAGTAATGTTCATGAGTGTTGAAAGTAAATTGAAGTCTAACTTGATGTTGAAAGGCCTGCATTAGAATAAATATAGCTCCTAAAATAGTTGCCTTGGTCGACCGAATTGTTCAAATCCTCTCGAACCCTCACGCGAAGAAGTTCATTATCATACAAAAAGAAAATGTCCATCTAATATTTGATATTTAACTAGGCCGGCTGCGAGGCGACGGCGGTTCAGCTTTGTTATTGCGTCTTGTAGACAGATGAAATAAACAATTCCAATTTTTAAAACCATAAATTGAAGATTAACAATAGTCTCAGGTTGTGCGAAGAAAGAAGACAACTTGAATTGGGGTGAACACTGTGTTATTTTGAAAGAAGTGGAATCTTAAGTTAGCCTGTTATTTGTCTGGTCTTTTGGCCAATGCGAGGAAAAAGACAATAAAATAAAGCAATAAAAGGAAATCTAGATAACGTGATACCCTTGACGCAGTTTTCAGTGGGTCGTTTCACCATAAAACCCATTCGAACGTGAGACAAATAGAAGGTAAGGACGATAGGTATTTCCGAGATAAAACTTTGTTGATAAAGACAAGGATTCTTATAAGGTTGTTCTGATGACGAAACAACGAAAAAAAACGTAGTCAATGGATACTTTGGATATAGTTGCTGGAAACTCTAGAGTCTGTTATATGAAAGAGTATCCTTTTAACTGTTTTAATACACCTTTTTAAACAACAATCGTGCGATCGTATCGAGCTGTCATTTTTGTTTTTCTTGTTGACTGTCTTAAAGCACTACGATCGCGTTCAGATCTCGAGCGATAACAAACCCTACGGGGCCTTCCCGGCCTGAAGTTTTGCGAAATACACCCGTCCCATTTTCACGAAATTGCGTTCCCATCAAAATTAGTAAAAATAAAGGTACACGTATAAACCTTAGTAAATGACTACTCCTAAAATGAGCCAAAATTAACACGAATCATCTGGGCGCAGTTGATATGACCGATAAGGTGCGCGCATTCTGTACCGAGAAGGAATCCTTATTAACAAGTGATACTTTCAGTGTTTAACTGACCCATGAGTTTTCTATTTGGTTAAGACCTGTATGCATCTCAGAGGCCATCTCAAACCCAAGAACCATCCAGTTTTACATCCCATTTAGTCAGTTAACCGTCACTACTCCAGAGTATTTATGACTCTTTTATCTTATATTTCTTTTCGCAGCAACTCCTGGCAAAAATGTCGAAAGAATCATGGATTTTATGTGCATTAAATTTAATTATAAAGCTTGCTATTAGAGCAGGTTTAGCTACTGTTATTTCTGGAGCACGAACTTTTCTAGATTTCGCCGAAGCGGCGGGGTATTTCGCAGTTGACGAAGGAGGTAAAGGAATACTAAACCTACTGTATGCAGTTGGACGCCTGGTAACTCCTGGTGCATTGACCTTTTGGACGGATGCAGTGGGACAAATTGCAAAAGAGCCTTTTCTTCTAGCTGCCAGTAAAGCTGAAGCTGAAAGGAAAGCGACCAATCAAGTTGGAACAGAGCAAGCTTCAAAGGAATTGGCAGAAATAGTGCAGGTTGATAATACTTGTTCCATGTTTTCTGTTGACGGACATGTAGTCATTGAAAAACGACAACAATATTTAGCCGCTTGGCGCAGAAACTGACAAATTTCAACCATTAGTCACGGTAAGAAAAGTTAACCTTAAAAATATTTCCTGACTGCGATCTGTCATTTTCTTAAGTGCCAAGCAGTAAATACTGGGACATCTCTTGCTGCGCATGACCGAGAGGTTCTTCTCGTCACAAGCTCATGGACAGTACAGAGGTGCTCAGAGGTCGAGATTATTGCTTGACTAGTACTTGACGCATGCGCACAACCATAGCAAACTGAGATGTGGCTGCACGAATGAGAAAGGCCTGACGTGTTTTTTTCGTGTGNGTTATAAGGATACTGATTGTATTAGTATTTATATCGCTCCGTAGCTAAGTGAAAAAGATAGTTATTGTACTGGTTGTCGATATCGCTTCGTAGTTATTACGTCAGTCAATAAAGTAGTTGAGTTGTACGAGTTATATCTTTCTGGCGGTTTGGAAAATACCGTAACAGTGCGATAATGATACATGGCCCTGAATGTTGTAAGTATTGTAAATAAAATATCTCAGGTAAAGTTTGTCGTCTCCGGAAGTCTAGGACTTCACCATTTGATTTGCAGAAGGTTCGATCGTGTGATTTTAGCATATTCCTTAGCAACCAGGAACCTTTTTTTGAGGGTCTGAATGGGGTTTAGTGTGTAGTATTATTTGCCCATATTTTTTAGTGTTTACTGTTAAATTAGCCATTTTTTAAATGTTTATTGTTCTTGAAAAAAATACTGTTAGTGTTTGAATGGAGATCCCAAAGTTCTTTTAGCATTTTCAAATTTTATCGGCTCTTTTAAATTCTGCAAGAAAATCAAGAAAATCACTCGCGAACAGTGAGCCAAAGCTGAAATGCTGTTGTCTTCATTCTGAGGAGTACTGGGACAAATCAGTGTTTACGACTGTAAATGCTTATATTAAAAACACAGTCGCTGAAGTAAGGCAGCACTCTAAAATGAAAGAAATGGCAGCAACAAATGGCACTGAAGGAACTCTGAAAATGATTTCCAGCAAAACACAGGAGTCAATATTGGTGCTTCTCGAACGAGGTATGGAACAGCTACGAGATAACGTTAAGAATGTAAATGAGGAGTATCTTGGTGACATTGACCTGCTTATAATAATAATTTAATACTTATATTGCGCAAATTAACATGTGGATATGATCAAATGCGCATCACAACACTTTTCGGGGGACTTTGGCCGGACTGCATCGGCAGTTTACAAACAATCGAAGGAAACTTATTTGAATATGCCCCCTTCCCTCCAATTCCCAGTAAACAGGCCAGACCACATCGCAGTAATCTCGTGAGTGGGTTCTTTAACGTCCCCTGCCTAACCAAATTAACTAATTAATAGATGCCGGCAGGAGACGGCTTACGCGGCTAACAACTCAGGTGGACAACCTTCATGGAGTCTCCCACTTCAAAAACGAGACTTTCAATTCTCTTCAGTATGCTCAAGACTTTGGAACAATTTCAAAGGAATCTTTCAAGAGAACAACGAAGTGGGGTGCGAAGTACTTCACGCATGAGAAGTCTTATTATCCGGTGCCTAAATCCAGTGTGGAGTTACGGGATGTAGATTTGGTGAAACCTTGTCCAGCTGGTAAAGTTGATCCCAACATTGAGGCAGCCATGAAGGGGACCTGTCAGGCAAAGGACGATAAGAGGCGAAACAACAAAGGACAAAGTGGGAGCCCTGCCGCCAGCTGTATATTCCAGTGCGCCATCGTGTACTAGAGTAACATTCCAAGAGGATGTTCAAGACAATAAGACAATCCAGGGACAGGCAATGAAGAACGAGTCGACCAGGATACAAATATTCCACGAGCTATAGATGAAGTACCGAGAATCACCTTTGTTGACAAAAGCATGCTCGGAGTTATTGCAGTTGGTGACGTGACAGACCTCCCCGAGCAGGAAGATGAATTCGACACCGACTCGGAGAGCGATGCGGACAATGATACAGACATAACGTTCAGCAGATTTGGTGGCGCCATCCGCGCTCATTTCCGCCTTGATCTCTAGAAACATCTGCGACTATCAGGACAGTCAGGACTATTCGGGTATGGAATATAATGAAATGTTTTTGGCCAGGATGGAGTGACATGTCTGTCATTTTTGTTGACCCTTATATATTGTGAGTACTGTAGCCGATCTTATTGATAAAAGAAATATTCTGTTATTACAATCATTACTAGTCAAATTTAAACACTCTTTTATGTTATCTTTACCTCTTTTTGTTTACAGTGCAGATACCCTAAATATGACCATCTCACAAAGCTAACCAATCATATTGACGTATTCATACAACGGATCACAATCCGTAAATTTGCTTATTTATACTGTTTATTTCGATGTTCTATCCCATTGGCTGTTTGATTTGAATATCGTAATCTGATTTGTTACTGATGTATTCTCTCTAAGTGGTCACGGTTAGTGTATCCTCGCTGTAAAAGTGCTTTAAGAATAGAACTGTTATGGGTTATACAAGCCAAATCTCCGGTAGTCTTCAAATATCGTCGGTCATAAGTCTAAGAACATCTTTGGCAGTCTCAGTGGACATCTTCGGCGGTCTTTGGACATTTAACCAGTGTTCGGACATCTTCCCGCAGCCTTCGGACATCTCCGGAAGTTTTCGCATGTCTTCCTCACTCTTCGAAAGTCTTGAAATAATCCCGAATTGTTGGAAATTGGCCAAAAAAACCTCTTTGATACAATAGACATAGGCCCAACATATTCCCCTTTTAGGGTGTGGTTTGTTTGTTTATGGGCAAAAAAATGTTGCAGTGAATTTTTTAATGTTAGTGTTAAAAAATGGCTAAAAATTAACTGTCTAATGTTATGTAGCCGAAAAAAATAAGTGTTTAGTGGTATCGAAGTACACCCATTTAGACCCTCTTTTTTAGGGAGGGGGAGAGAGGATAAAGACAGTGTAAGATGAAAACGTAAGCAAAAAGTGTTTTTCTGAGCCGCGGTGTTGGGGAGTTCTCATGAAGGGCAAAGTAAACTTGAGGGAAGCAAAATCAGAGCGCTTATGCCACTCTTCAAACCAAGAAAACTAAGAGAAAATTTTGAAATAATCTGGGTTCGCCCAGACTTGCTGAGAAAATACGGTCGTCATGATGCATACGCCCAAATTTTTCGAAATGGAAGGGATAAAATCCTGTTTTGGGCAGTCTTATTTTAGTGACAGAAACTGAAAAATTCTTTGTCAAAAAATTCTTTTATAATTTTAGTATATGCATTACATCCATTGAGTGGAGAGCTCCGATCAAAGAAAATTGTATTCGTCTGAACTAGAAAGCAATACTTAAAGGAATACAAAAGTTTTGCACGTTATATCAGTTGTCAGAAGAGATTGAGCCAAGCATGGTGACTTGTCTCTGATCGGCAGGTGAATGACAATGAAAAACCGCAATATTTTGCAGATGGCCAGATCCCTAGTGTTTCATCCTTTCGTTAGAAGCTATTTTGTGTTTTCTAATCATTTTCATTAATCGCTCTTTCGCTTGGACGCAACCATATATTAAGAAAATACTCATTTTTACACAACGAAGTTGGACGAAGTTAAGCATGAGCAGGCCATTTTTTTCGGACCTCTAATTTTGCTCCGAAAGTTAGTAGCAGATCAAATGACGGGCTCTTGGCCTAGGAGAGGGGAGAAAAAAAGGTATCGCACAATGATGTTATATATTTCTAAACAGCCAAATAAGAAACGACAACAAATCAAAACAGAGACCCAACAAGCAAAACAAAACAGAGAGCAACTGAGTGATTTAAACGGTGCACAAAATGCTTCACATGATAAAATAGTCTGTTGACAACAGTTTGTCTTTTTTGGATTGGACATGTGATCAAAAAAAAGGTTAACCGTAAAACCAAAGGCAGATCAAGCTGCAGTCGGCGAAATTTTTATTTTAGTACTGTGGTCTTTAAGTACATACAGTGTGGTACTCTGTCAAGCAATGATTGACAGATCACAGCACTACTACATTAAGGCTATAACTAGCCTTGCTCCTTAAAACTTGATATTATCTATTAAGAGTACGGAGAAGTACTATGGAAAATCTCTCTCACTTTCCCAGAACTTTCAAAATCTCAAAAAAACCGCCCTCAAACGAAGATCCATGATCTTTCGGAGAATTGTTACCCTTACATTTTTTTCTTTGAAGCAAATTTTATTTTACTCGCTATCCTTTTGCAACAGATAATGTGACGTCTCTTTTTCGGTCTTTTTTTTTTGTACTCCCTCCTTGATTTGTTTGATCCTTCACACCCTTGTCCACCCTTAAATCGCTTTTCATTTGTCAATCCTTTGAAACAATCCAAGGATAGCTCCGCTTAGAAACACAGCTATCGATGATGTGAAAGTCGAAATATTGTACTGCCACATCATTCACCAGAAATATAAATCAGAAAACGAATTGCAAAAATAAAAATATCAAAATGATAGCCACATTGCTAAACAATTTGTCTTTCATTGACTTTCTCGATTTTAGCGGTGTTTCTATTTCCGCAGTGGTGCCAGAGTTGGTTACAGAAGTTAAATTATTGCATTATATTTACGCGAAAGAGCGATTCCTTAGTTTTAGGTGGAAAAATGTTCGTTGGTCTGTTCAGAGCACTTATCGGAGCACTTACTTTGCGACAAATATTAGATATATGATCATTAAATTTTAAATTTTTATCAAGAACAGCCCCCAGGAAAGAAGTGTTGGCTGTGGTTTAAATGTTGACATTAACGAATTCAAAGTTCACTCTGTCTTCCGTTTTTCCGGGTACCATAGCCTGGTATTTTTCTGGGTTTGATTTCATGCCAATGCGAGTAAACCATGAAGGGGTGTTCACCATTCAAGAGCCAAGGCAAATGTACGAAAGAGATCGCAACAGCTGTAAAACACGACAGTTGATTACGAAAAACTTACTTGCTGGCTTTTCAGTGCAACTACGAAATAAAAAAAAGAGTTTCATTTTAAACTGCTTCATCGACAAATCGTGCATAATGACTTTCTTTACAAGACAGGAGTTAAACGGCCTGACTCTTGTTCCTTCTGAGGAAAAGTAGCAGAAAGCCTTACTTGTTATTCTTGAAATGGAATTATTCCAAGTCTCTTGGGGAAAATATTCTCAGTGGTTGATGCAAAATATTTCCAACGTGGTGAAATTTTCTGCCTCTGTAACTATACTCCTCGTCTTATCATTACATAATAATACTTATCGCCAAGCACTATATTTATACTTTTACATTGGAAGAAGCGAGCCTTAGTTTAGAAATAAGAGTAAGCTAGTTTAAAATATTTGATAGAAAATCAAATTCCTGAAGTTAAGAAGTATTTGGGCGCTTTCAAAAACGTGCGTCCCCTTCGATGAGTAAATGGTTCATTACAAAAGAAGTGACAGAAGTGGAGAGTGGGCCAAGCTCTGTCTTTTTCTGTTTTTAGGTTCATCCTAAATAAGGATTCTTTAGTGTTTTAATTAGTAGGTTAAAATTTGCAAGAAAAAGTACCCTGTATAGAACAAGTAGGTAAGAAAGAATAGTCAACAATAATAATTACAAGACTAGTAAAATTTGTAGAACAAAAGGTTTCAGTGAAAAATATTGAGGACTAAGATTCATTGAGCTTTCAAAATACCGAGAATTGGAAAAAGAAAGAAATTAAATTTCATAACTCGGGAATTTCGATCTGTCTAAGGGTTTAAGAAAAGATATTTTACACTGCCAATTGGAAAATAAATTTCTAATCTTGGTTTACATTATTGGTAAATCGAATTAGTAATATTTTAAGGGAATTTCTTTTCAAAAGGTGTCCTATTTTGAATATAGACAGTTCAGTTATTGTCGTGCACTCGAGGTAAATGTCAATTGCGCATGCTCACACGCACGAAGTACCGCTGATGCGTACTGTTGTCGACCCTCGTCACTCCTATCCACTTCAGGGCGTCGAAAAGCAAGTTTATTCATATCGATATGTTGCTCTGCCATCTCTAGTGTAGGTTGTGCTCCATCAGCTATGCAATTCACCGTCTCTCGGACTGACACCGCTAATCTTCCCGCCAAAGCTCTTTTGATTGGCTCGTTCGCCCCGTGCAGAAGCTTCAGTTCGTGTTTGAGTTGCTTAATGGCTTCCCCAACCATTTGCTTCGCCTTCTTTTCTTGGTTCTCGACGATGTTCGAGTCCTTGATATAAATATAATTAATTCCAACGTGACGTTTAGAGCATTGCTCGACATTTTAGTAAAGTAATGATCAGTAACAGTTAGCAGGTGTGAGGGTAGAAAACGTCACCAACGTAGCAATATTTCATATTTGTAGGAAATTTCTTTTGAAAGCGTAGTTTCAGTTTTGAAAAAGAGCTATCAAAACCAAATGCTTTTGCATCTATATTTCAATTGGAAAATTTGGCAGAGGAGACTGAGAAGCAACCTTTTTTTTTTTACCCAAGATAAGGGTTGGCCCGGGCCCCTCCTCTAGTTCCCCCACTGCTAACAATATTTACACCGTGACCTTAGAACCAGCTTTACTAGGTGGGTGCACCTCTTTTCTTTACTTGTTATCCTTTTTTTCAACTCTTCTATTACGTGCGTTAAACAATCTATTCAATATCTTCATGTGTTCAGTGAAGACGAATTATCTGAAGCTTTCTAGATTGAGGAGTGCACTTTATGTTTTTTCGGTCATAGCTCCAATTTTTCCTCTGCTACTTGTTGCGCTCGCTGTTGGAGCAGTCTTTATAATCCTTTTTATTTTGACATCAGTTTTCACCTCTCTGGACCGTGATGTTTGCTTCTATTGGCCGGACACAGAATACTCTGGCTGAATTCTTCGGCGAATTTCAAGTTTTAAGTTGGGTAGTTGGACCTCTCTCAATTGTGGTATTGATTTTTTGCAATGTCAACTAAATTGAAATTGTAAATTGGCCACCGTAAAGAGTTAAAAGGCTGACGTTTCGAGCGTTCGCCCTTCGTCAGAGCTAATGCTCGAAACGTCAGGTTTTTAACTCTTTACGGTGGCTAATTTACAATTTCACCTTAGTTAATATGACCAAATTACCATAAAACAGACACAAATATATGAAAAATTATCCCCTCCGACGCTGCACTACAGTTTTTATTTTAGAAACTTACCCCCTTTATTTTATGGTTAGCTTTTCTTGCAGTTTTGTCACCGATACCATTGCGTACAAGGTGATGGGAATTGCCCTTACCGCACTCATTGTAACTCCGTATGCAGCTTTCCTCCTCGTAGTTGTGACAAACATTCATCTCTGTTACGCCAACTTTCAGAACAGTTACAAAGAAGTCAAACGGATGATATCAACGTGGCAATGTGAATTAAATGAGAATACCGGAAGCCTTCATACAGGAGACACAATTCCGACTAAGCCTTATTGGTGGTAAAAATTATATTTTATGAATAAAAATGTAGTTAATGTGATAAATGTTGTTATTAAAAACTAGATCATTGGATAATGCAATTCAAGACTTTTTATTGGCTTAGCCATTATGGTATATCAGCCAATATACCATAATCTACAAATATGGCAAGCGTACGTGTCAGCTTAAAATTAAAAGGGAGCTAAAAATTTAATAATTTAATTTCACGTTTTTAATAAAACAATTATTCCACTCGAGCTTGTTGGATACGAGATGATTATAGCCAACTCGGCGCTACGCGCCTCGTTGGCTATCTATCATCTCATATCCAACGCGCGCTCGTGGAATAATTGTTAAATATCCTATAAATATAATGAAAGCTTGAACTGTTAAAATATATACGTCATCGATCTCATTTACAAAACTCACCAAGCACTAAA